GGAATAACACTTTTTATTTGAAATAGTGTTTCATCTTGAAGCCATCTCTTCTGCCTCTTTGCTCAACTTTTTTATTATTATTATTCTGTGAGGAATCAGTTGCAACAGAAAAATAACCTGATCTTGTTGGCTTCATGTAGAAAGTAATTAATACATGACACAACATTAGCAGTACCTGGATTTGGCAGAAGCAAAGGTCAGGCATGAAGCCACTCACCCTCAAAGACCTCCAAGCAGCTGCTTGCCACTGGTCACCTGTTAAATTTGTTTACTCTTTATGAGATTGATAGTTGGAGAACGGGAGGAAAATGCCTCTGTAACAGATCAGGCACGGGAGCCAAAGCATTCTGCATACTTACTTCTATGATTGCACCATAGGTCAAAAGCTTGCATTCCTAAGAATATGTATTTAAGCGCCAGGGCTCAGATGAGACAGTTATGACAGAAGAGAAGAGTGGCTTTAATCTTGGCCTCACCTACTGCTTTACTCATCTTTAGAATACTTTGGCAAGTTACTAATGCATGACTTTCAGATAGGCTTGAGATCTCTAAAAGGAAAAGGGCTGATTTTAAGTGTTGTTTTGAAATGCTACAGACCATACTTCAAGAAGCTGAAGAAAATGAAGTCTGATCAGCTCCAAAATCCACCACTTAAGGGTCATAATCCATTCCATGATGCAAACCTAGATGAGCATATTGGATGCAAAACTCAAGATTGTTCAGCTCTTTCCGCTGATTCTTAATGATGTCAAATGAGAAAAATAAATAATTTCTCAACTTTATATGAGGCTTTAAATATATAACTTTTATTTGTTACTATGTAGTATTACTATAATAATAAAATTGTAGGCTATATATGCAGGCCATATAAAATAGGTTAGTATTCCCTCCTTTTTTGCAAATATTGGTCTAAGATTGGGGGGGGGGAAGTGGCATATGGATTCTAATATTTGGATGATGATGCCCAAAGCAAAGATTTCTTGAAAATTAAACTAGTTAAAACAGGGGTAAATAACTTTGAAACCTGCAGTTTTTGAAGAACAATCCCCAAAATCCTTCTAAATACCTGAGAAACTGGGACATAGTGTCAACCCATTTGAGCAGAAGTTCAGGATTCATACCTTTGATCATTCTCTGAAAGAGTGTTGTTGAAAAGTTTCCTAGGATTTCTAATAGGAACATGGATTTGAACAAGGGATATATTTTAATTTAATTAACACAGTTATGAAAAGTTTAAATGTTATATAAGTATATATCCTTTCCTTTATATGAAAATAGCCATACCCCCTCTTGACTGGGGCCTAAAATGCTCATGTTAGCTATTCATTCCTTTTTGATCCTGAAGTATTGAGGACTGGTTGACAAGTAATGTGGTGCAAACTCATCCAGCTCTTTATTCTCTGTAGGGCCTGCATAGTGACACTTTCCCTTCTATGGCCACAACTGTCTTGTTGAAGACAGAATTGATGTCCCATTCCCATTGGAAGTTTATCTCTGGACAAGATAGAAATATTCTCAAGAGCTGTGAGAAGGAATGTAGCAGCCAAGGGGCAGCATGGAGCAAGGATGTGTGTATGTGTGTGTGTGTGTGTATGGATGGATTGCTATATAAATAGATGTGTTATGCTGTAAATAGCCCCTGTGCGGCCATAGTCTGATGACAGAAGGACATTCCACATTACCCCAGAAGTAGGCCCAAGCAGCTGTTGCTTGGGGACTACTCCTGGGAATACAAAGGGCAAGCCATTCATACTTTCCAGCTGTACTTGTTTTATTGGATTGGCATCTTTTTTCTTACTCTTTGTACCAACTGCTGCTTTGAACTCATGTCATGTAAGAATTAGAACATAGCCTTTAAGTGCTTTTATCATGGCTGGTACAATTAGCCCTAAAAATGGCCTGCGGGATGGAATATGTAGGGGACTGCATGTGTCTTTTCTGAAATCATGCCGTTGCTGACGTGTTACTGGCGCTTGATAAGTGTTCTGCTCTTGCAGGGGAAGAAGCACTTGATAACTGCTTAGTAACTTCCCAATACACTCCCCAACAGGACTTAATTTCTAAAATGAGAAGTGTTAGGGTTCAATGCCAAATAGATCATAAGCATCAGCATCAGCATTGTGTATATATCTAATGATTGGTATACTGTCCTTAGAGTATTTTAGCAAAGACTGGATATCCTTCTCTTAGAGATGTTCTAATTTTTTTCTGTACAGCATATGACAACTGAGCAGTGAACTAGATGACCAAATACTCTTCCAATTGCCTTTATTAGACAAAAATAAGTTGTTCCCTACCCTGGGAATTGACCATCTAAATCAGTTCTTAATTAAGATTTCCAAGCATGTTAAATTACAGACCTTAGTATCCTCAGCCAAATATAAATCATGAATGCAAAATGTTACACAGGTAGTCCTTGATTTACAACCATAGATTTAGTGACTGTCTGAAGTTACAATGGCACTGAAAAAAGCAACTTATGACCAGTTTTTATACTTACGCTGTTGCAGCAAGCCTATGGTCGTGTGATCAAAATTTGGGCGCTTGGAAACTGACATGTATTTATGACAGTTGTACTGTTCTGAAGTAATGTGATCACTATTTGTAACCTTCTCACCTGGCTTCCAACAAGCAAAGATTCGCTTAATGACATGATTCACTTAACAATTGCTGTGGTTGGCTTAACAAGTGTGGCACAAAAGGTTGTAAAAATGGGGAAAACTCACTTAACAACTTCTAACTTAGTAAACTTCATTGCTTAGCAATGGAAAGTTTTGGCTCAAATGTAATTGTAAATAGAGGACTGCCTATATTCTGTCTTGGAAGCCACTTTACTTCATTTGTGTATGAGAAAGGAACATTATTATTTCTTATTTTTTTCATATGCTCATAGATAAGATCCTCTAACTCCCCTGTTTCTGACTATTTTGTTTCTTTTGAAAACAAGATTTTTATTCTCCACTGTAAATCATCAGACAATGGAGGGCAGGTGAATATACAGCAGTGCTTTCCCAAACGTTTTCCTCATTAACACTTTACAGAAAGCCTGATTGAACTTAAAGCCTAAAACCACTTTTCAGAAATGAACTTCAAGGCCTGCTTGCTTTTCCCTATCTTAAACACCATTGTAATTTCAAACGGTCACTAAATGAATGGTAACCCAAGGACTATCTAATTATAAAAACAGTATCATTGAATTATCTTTCTCATTTCAACAAATTACCATTGGTAAATTCATCAATTTTAGGTCTTACTAGAAATTATTTGGGAAATTTTCAAATACATTTTCGTACATATGGCAATCTTTAAGTCAATTTAAATGTCCTTTTTGTGTTGGATAATGGGTTCATTTGTTGTTTCCCAGAGAACAACACTTTTACCCAATTTTGGATAATTTACTTAGGTTTGGGAACCATTTATATACAGTAAAAATCAAGTAAGACAAACAGGAGTTCAGGAATAAAGAAGAGAGAAAAAGGAGGACTAGAGAAAAAGGAGAAACAAATATTCAGTAATAATAAACCTGTGTAACAACAAAAGAAGAGATGTGATGTGGGCCTTAAAAATTGACTTGGTAGAAAGGTTGGGTAAAAAGAGAGGAGGGGAAACAAGGCAAACTAAGAAACAGTAAAAGACATCCAAGTCAATAAAGGAAAATAAATAAATAAATATATAAATGGGTTGCCATGGAGGATATTTTAAAAATAAGAGACAAATAAAGCTTGATTTTAATACCCAGAGCAACGAGGAGCAAGCATCAACTCTGTTGTGTGTCTGTTGTTATTTTCAAAACTCCAGGTATGATTACCATATAAGCATTAATTCTTAATGCCTTAAGTCCCTTAATCCAGTTACAGTATTCTCACATATTGTTTTAGGAAATATAAATACAATCTTTATACTTTCTAAAAAAGTAGTGGTGTCATTTCACTGGAATTGGAGGCCCAGCAGGAATCACACTGGGAGGTGAGATGCGATAGGACCTTGTGACATTAAATCTCTAAGCCATGAATTCCCTTGCGGTATACCATGCCATAGAACCTTGTGCCACAAAATGCGCCTTGGTCTTCTGGAGGCTGGGACAGGTGGTGGGATTAGTTGTTAATGAGCCCTTATATAATAAGGTCAGGTGCAAGGCTCCAGTAGGATCCTGAGCCTGTTGAATGGCAGCTCTATCCTTAGCAGAGCCTCTCACAGCCCCAGGCTGCCACTCCCAACTCATGTTGGGGTGTATTAGCGCCTCCTCTCCCCACATCTCTTAGCAGCAGCTGCACCTGACAAACTTCCCATTCTCTAATCACTGTGCTAAATATAATGCAGCTGGCTGAGTCCTTAGTGTGGGGTCAATGAGGTGGGCTTGGAGGTATATGTTGGCCCATGGCTGTTTTCTCCATCCCCAAATGAGATGGAAAATAGAAGTCATTTGGAGTTAGCATTTAAAAAGAAATAGAACCATCATAGACAGAGAAGGTTATTTTTCAGTTTTCATGGAGTGGCATGCATGGCTATATTGATCTATAAGAAATATGGCAATGTAAATAGGGAAAAATCAAGGTAGCATCTTTATTAGTGCTTTTTAAAGTGTCACAAAAAGAAGGAATAAATTTGGAGAATAATGGCTATTAGACTAGATGGCAAATTGACTGCTTTTAAAAGCCATTTCTACCTGTCTCAGTTAAATTGTAAGCAAGTTGGTAAAAACTAATTTTTACTGATATTATGTAACAATTTATAGCTTTAAATAAATAAAGCTCTACTTTGCTAAAAGAAGAAAAAAATAATAATAATCCATTAATAATTCAAGTAACTTTTTTTGTGTGGAAAATATTTAATAGTTAAAGCTAATTAAAAAACCATTGTTGTCAGATATTCTGTGGAAACATTGACGCATGTGTACAATACATAGCTTGCAATAACTAAAATATTTGTATTCTCATTTCTGTTTCTATAGTTGAAAGATAAATTAGATACAAAGTTTATGAAAGACTAGAAATAAAATCTTCAGAAAACATCCTTGATTTGTTTTAATTTTTTCTTTATCACTTCTTACAAAATTTTTGCAAGCTTTAAAAAGTCTCCTTTATAAATTTAATATGGGGAAATTATCCAGATCATTCTTTTAATAATTAAAAGGAATATACAAGTAACAAATCAAGATATCAGCTGATTTCTTTTGTATGTTCAGCGTAACATCATTTTCTATGTCATTCTTGTAGCCTCTCATTTTTAAATCCACTTTCAAAACAGTCTCATTCATGTCAGGTAATACTTGTTCCTCTTCCATCCTTTTCTTTTTCATTTTGTTTTTAATGAAGTTAAGTAACATTTTTAAAAATTTACTTCTGGTCCATTGTTCAAAAGTATCCCTCAATGTGTCCAATGTTAAAATATTTTGCTTCATTCTGTTTTAGCAAATGAAGTTTGAGTGTTGTTCTCCTCTCATTGTAGTCTTTAGTTCTTTCTAGTTTTTTTAATGTCCAATTTTTTAAATCTTATTTTACATATTTTAAAAGAATTCAAAACAAAAGCATTTTCCAACAGCAAGGATTTTTATAATTTATTCCAAAGTCTTATTTCAAATTTACCTGGATGGTTAGTCCATATGTAATTTTCTAAAATCTAGTCATCCTTTTGCTGTTTATTTTAGGGGGGGGGGAAATAAGTTCTTAAACTTGTATTTAAAACTTCTTTACTAAGGATTGAAGGAAACTCCCCCATAAACATATTAATCCAAAGGTCTCTAATAGCTGAAAAGCCATTCACAATCAATTTCTAAAAATTATTAGACAAAGAAGCATGTGAACCAAATGTCCTTTTAAAGGTGACAATCACCATTTGAGCAAGATGGTTATCCTCTGTCTCCCAGAGCTTTAAACCCAGAAGAGTCTTGAGGTCTCCTCACTAGGAGCAGCTTTCTGTTGCCCATATGCAAGTGATCTCAAGTCCTGTCCTTGTCCAGAGAGCAGTTATGAAACCCAATCTTTCAGAGAGTTGTTTTCACTTTGCCATTTCTTCCCCAAAAGTCCAAGTTAGGATTGTTAGTAGTAAAAGAAAGGAGTATAAAATCGGTTTATTTGATTAAGGTTAAAATACATGAGTTGTTATCTCTGGTAACCTTTAATGAAATTTTACTGACCTAATGACTGAAATGATGAAGTTTCATGAATTTGTTTACGGATAAGAAATTGAAATATGGGAAGAGATAATTTGTTGTGTTTTAAGAGAAAGTGATGTTACTAAAGTTGTTTATATTTGTTGTGATGAAAGGAAACGTAACTTTATATATTTATTTTATTTTTCTTTATTATATTCTTTTTCTTTCTTTTCTACTTTTAATTTATTGTTCTTTCTTCTTCTTTGCACTGAAAAAGCAGCTATATTACTACTGGGAATTATTCTTTTCTTAGCTCTTGACTTTTCTCATTCTACCCCATTATGGATGTTTACAAAAAGCACAGAAATTAAATTACACAGAGTACAGCCATTTTATGGAGAGAATAATTGCCAGTCTACATAGCAGATGAATGGACAGTATCCAGGTTCAAATTATCTTTGACTCTGCCATTTAAAACCCAGTTTTAATCAGTGAATAATATAATAAATGAATCGCTCACTACAATTACTTAAAAAAATCATCTGACAACTTCTCTTAGTGCACTCTAATATTCAGTTCATTTGATTTTGTATTTCTGACATAGGAATTATGACAATTTCTGATTGTGACATGTTTAGTATTGTAAAATTTGCACGTGTAGATCTTAGCCATCTTATGGCACAGTTTCAATAGGCAGACTTTTTGTCTCTCTGTATCTTGGTGGTGTGAAGATCAATATTTTGCATTACAAAAAAATCATACATATTTCACTTCAGGGGTAGTTGATTTTCCAGTTGAGTTTCATCTTGCCCAGATGGAGATAAGAAGGATTGTGATGAGACAGGCTGTACTAGAGAGGGCAATATTGCAACCAGAAGACGTATAGAAGCTGACAACTCAGCCAAATTGTGAGCTATAGCCTTCAGTTGGGAATCTTGATTCTTAATGGCAACGGAGACAGAACCTAGTTCCCCATGGAGACCTTTCATTGTATGGACCAAATTCCTCAGGGCTTGTGGTGAACAGCAACATCTTTGATCTGCTTTACTTTGTTTTTGCATTAAAAGACAGTCTGGGAATGATTCACAGTGTTCAGAATAGGTGACAGGTTTGACAGATAGGACATTTGGATCTGATGTTTTGGTCAGGCCTAGTGTGGTAGAGAAAAGAAACAGTGACTTTTCAATATCCCAACATATCCCATTAATAGCTAAGAGAACAATCCTTCCTAGCATAGTACTTTCTATATACATTGCATACATTGACTGAGAATTATGGAAACTAAATATCCAATGCATATGTTCTATAATGGGTTTGCAACTCCCACAATGTTGACAGGAATTTGTATGATCTCCCAATACATATTGAAGGATAAGGGAGTTTGTTGTGCAGAAATAGAGATGATCTTTTTTTTAAAAAAAGAGGAACTTTTTCCTAGCCTAACAGTGAAGATTTATCTTCAGTACTTACATGTTTTTCATAATTTACCTTCTGAGTTGAATAAATTGTTCCCCAATTGCCCCTTCATAGTTCTTGGACTTGGGTACTGTTGGCTTGAATTGAAAACTTCATTGGAAATAAAGATAAACTTTGGTGCAGTTGGAACAACATTTTGTAGGAATATGAAATAAAATGAGATTTCAGAATTCTGCAAAAAGCATATTTAAAAAATTCCAGTATGCTTCTGGTGAATAGCTGGAGTTTTCTAGAGATCCCTTTGTAATCATTAGTTTGACTTCTCTTTCTCTAAAACAGAAGTGAGGAACTATGGTCCCTTTATGACTAGTGGACTGGTCAGAAATTCTAGAAGTTGAAGTCCACGTGTCATAAAAGGGCCATAGTTCTCCACTCCTGTTCTAGAGGGAAGGAGAAATGCTAGCAGTAACTGCAAAAGCAGTCTTGTACTTCTTACTTTGAAAGGGGAAAACCAGGGTAGATTCATAAGTGGTTCTAAGCCATGTATTTATCCATGGTTTAACTATGATTTCTTAATAAGCGACAATATTCTGGGTTTATGAAAGTCAGTATGATATAGTCATTAAAGAACTGGGCTAAGACTGAAAAGCCATTAGTTTTAGCCCTGCCTTAGACACCAGCTGAATTATTTTGAGCTACCTACTCTCTTTCAGCCCCATATATACAGCAATGGTAAACCACTTTTAAACATATTGCCAATTAAACTGGAGGGACTTGTCCTGGTAGTTTCCAGAAAACAAAACTGACTCTAAAGCATGTCTGTCTATCTTTCTCTCTCTTTCTGCCTCTCCCTTTGTCATTTTCTTCTAAATCCTTACTCATTTGATGACATTTTTATGACCTTTGAACATTTCTAGATACAGTAACATTTTCTCTCATGTTTATAGGTGGTAATGTGATGGTTTCCTTTAGATTGTCTATAATTCTATTGCCCCTGACTTTGGATACAACCTGTATATATGAATACATGTGCATATTTTTGACTGCAGAGAAGAAATTATAAATGTGCTACACCATAATAGCTGGATTTAAATAACACTAACTGAAAATCAAACAAGTTGTTTATTGTGAATTGTGACCTCAGTTGCAATAATACTAATGGAATCATTATTAGCTACTGCTGTTATATTTTTGATTCTATTTTCCTTAGCCACACTGAGTCACTTGTCAGTGAGATGGGTGGCTTATAAATTTAATGAATGAATACTGAATGAATGAATGAATGAATGAATGAATGAATGAATGAATCAATCAATCAATCAATCAATCAATCAATCAATCAATCAACCTTTTCCTTCAGGAAGTTAAAGAGATTACCAGAAAGGAGGACTGCCCTATCTAGATGTCTGCTATTGATTTCCCAGCATTTTGCTCCAGAAGAAAAATGAAACTTGAGGACCCAGTTGTGGGGGCAATAAGCTGACTTTGTATAAATATACAAAAGTATGAAGGCTATTGCTTAACGCACTGTAAGCCGTCCTGATTCTCCGGAGAAGGGCGGCATATAAATCAAATTTTAAAAAAAACTGTATTTCCCCTTCTCTAACCACTACTGTTCCTCTTCTCCAAACTAACTACATACCCTTCTTTTCTGGTAGCAAGAAAGACAAAGATAAGAATAAGGAGCCTGGATAGCTCAGCAGACTAATGCATTGTAATTTAACTCCAGCTGTCTGCAATTAGTAAGTTCGAATCTTGCCAGGCTCAAGGTTGACTCAGCCTTCCATCCTTTCTAAGGTAGGTAAATTGAGGACCCAGTTTATGGGGGCAATAAGCTGACTTTGTAAAAATATACAAAAGTATAAAGGCTATTGCTTAACGCATTGTAAGCTGCCCTGAGTCTCCGGAGAAGAGCGGCATATAAATCAAATTAAAAAAAAATACCAATGCTAAAAGGGAATCAGATAGAGATTCACTATCCACAGCACATCCAATCTTGACTCTTGCTTTGGGACTGTTACTCACCTGAGGGTTCCACAGGATGGGGATCTGTATTTGATTCCTCCTGTTTTTCTTGATTTGATTTCTCTTCATAATCTATGACTTTGGATGTGGTTGTTTCAATGTGCTTTTCAGGTTGCAAATTCTTTCTGGTTATAGGCAGTTTCACCTCTTTTCTGACTTCAAAACTTTTTGAGAATTCAAACAATTCATTCCTCACATCAGATGTGCTTATGACTTTCTCAGGTGCCTGAATCCATGTGGCAGTGGTGATATCCTTATTTTCATTGAAGACATCATTGAATTCTATGTTCTTTGTAACTGGAGACACTTCAGCATTGCTATCCCAATAAATGGAAGGCACTCCCTCAGGGGCAGAGTTAAATGATTGTGCAAATGGAGGCGGTCCTGCTCCTGATGGCCTTTCTCTGTCTGATTCAATATCCCACATGGATAATGATTTAAATTCTATGGATTGTGAAATGGGCATTTCCCTCCTTTTTTGAAATGATGACATGATCTTTGAAGAAATAGCTGGTTCCATCTCCTGAACATCCTGTGGATTCTCTGAATTATATATTGTTTTATCTACGAATCCAGGAGTTGTTGACTTTATTTCTCTTTTAGATTCTGTATACCATGTGATGGAGGATGGCTGAAAATTTTCTGTGGAAGAGAGTGACTCTTTTTCCCATTTGTGTGTGGACAATCTTGTTTTAGGGAAATTGTATGAATTTTTTTCCTGCATGTGCTGCAATATATTTGGACTAAAGGTTGATTCAACAATACCTGAAGGATTTATTGGCTTTATCTCCTTTTCCTGTTCAATTTTGACACTTGATGTTTTTAAAAAAGGATCCTCAATGTACCATTGATTGAGAGACTTTACGTTTGACTCATTTGGAAATTCCTGAGTGTTTGTGGTAATCTCTGGTACGTCCATCACATTTTGGAGCTCTGAATTGTTTGGAGATACTTGCTCAGGTGTGATAGAGACTGGTAGTTCAGTTGCCTTTGAACTACCAATTGGTTTTTGGAACAACAGACGTTTCCACCTGCCTAAAATTAGAAAATGTTTACTAGTGTCAGATTTACCACTGTTCTTTCCCCATAACACTAGTTATTACTGATCATTCTCAGAAGCCAGGCAGATGTTCTCATTAAACATGCTTCGGTAGAAATAGGAAAGTTCCTCACCTGTGCAGATGACAGAAGCATCTTCATGATGATTGCAGTTATGCTTCCCCCAAGGCTTAGAATGACAGCGCTTTATAGTAAACTCTCTCCCAGTGCAGTTGACATCATCCAACCAGATAGGTCCAGATCCTGGTCCATATCGAGCATTGCCTGGACTGAGAAGTGGAGCTCCACAGTCCAACTCACGGCATACAACAGCTGCATCCACCAAGTCCCAGCCATCATCACACACTGTGCCCCACTGGCCTTTGTACAACACCTCTACCCGTCCAGCACAGGATTCAGGGCCATCTACAAGCCGCAGCTGCTGCTGGCCTGAGATACAAGGAGTAGAAAATGATTAAACAGAATTAAATGTCTTTCATCAAAATTGTTGCCTTGGATTTCTCATTGGTGTATTTACTTACGTCAGAGGAAAATATGTAATGTTTGAAGCAATGGGGAAACGATCCTGCCTTGGTTGGGGAAGGGAGAATAGATAGAAATTTGAAGAAAATGAAATATATGCAGTGCTTTATTTACCATTCTTTGGATATAAATTATTTATGATTGTTTCAGCCAACTTCCACCCACTTTCCCTATTCTGTTTCCTAGTGGATTAAACATAATGAGAAAACATATCCACATCTTTACTTCTTATGTCTTATTAGAAGTCTCTGTTCTTCAGACATACAGGAACACTTGGCTGGAACCATTCTATGAAATCCAAATATCAATCCATTTTAATCCATGTTTTCTGGAGCAGTTGAAAAAGGACAATTTGTGAGTATTTAGGACCAAACTAAATGTGATATGCTAGGGCCATCACTGGTTTCCCTGAATAGAGTACAAACTCTTCCTTACGTGATTTGTTTCCTTCCAGAGATGGGAACTAGGAATTATCTTCCTATGACATAATTTTAAAAGATCAACATTTCCTAAGAAAATTGATAGCCTTTTCTTACAAACAAGATTCAGATCTAGTGAGATATGTGAACAGAATTAGGAAGACAGTACAAACTTTCTGGTATCCATGTGGACTTGGGCTTGAATTATTGATGGAATAGAGAGGCCGCATTCTGCTTTCTTTTTATCTAGTTTTCCTCAACTACAAAAACCTGTAGAACACCAACAGCAATGCAGGACTGGTCAATAAGCTTCAACAGTATAGTTCTAGTGGAGTTTCACTTCAAATGTGAATAGTAAGTCAATGCTTTTCCAGATAAACCAGTAGATAAAGTACAACCACTAAAAAAAGTACAATAACATCTCTTCATGTTACAAAACTACTGCCGCTGAGCACTACCTACTACTTCAGTATACTATTTTGGGTAAATGGGATACCTCTTACCCTAAATTGGCTGACTAAAGCAAATGGTTACAAGAACCTGCATGATTGCACAAACTTTATGACAGTGTTGTGGAAATTTGTAGTAGTGGGAAAGAGGTAAATGGGTTTACCTTGGTTTAATGATACCACCTCCCCATCTGAGAGAGCCTGAGTTTAAATATACTTTCTCTTTCTCTTGAGACATATGAAGAAGGATGTAAAATGCATATATTTATTTAATATAACATTTAAGCCACTTTCTCTACCCTTTTGCTTTCACAGATACTAAAATGGACACTTCCCACATATATAACAAAAACTGCTGCTGGATGATTTATTGCATCCTTTCCTAACTTAATGTCTTAGGCTGAGACTTTAACTTGGAAGAGTTTCCAGTTAGTGTAACCAAAGGCAATATGTTTCTACATATCAGTAGGTTGGAGAAGACTGATCTGGGTTTTCATGAAGGAAGTAGTCACCCATTTCTCCTTATTACTTGCTCACCACTTTCTGAAAGACCTCCTTTGATAATATCATCTGTGGGTTCTTGACTAGTCAAAGTTTCTTCCTGGTTTCTTGTAAACTGAATAGGATGTGGAATTTGGTTTGGTGTAACAGACCAGGATCTCTGAGGAGCTAAGGTCTTTGTAAGCATGGCTGTTTGCTCTTCTATCATGGCAAGGGACATTGCACCTGTTGGAAAAGAAGTCAATAAATGACAGAGTGTATGCCACAGTAGTAATTCCACAATTCTTCAGAGAGTCTTATATAAATGTACTGTCTTTGTAAGAGCTGAATATACAGGTGGCAACTTGAACTGGAATTTTTTATTAGCTTGATATAATGGATTTTCTCCAAAATAATCTTGGGGAAAAATTGGTGAAATGCTAAGCAATCTTCTCCCATTTCCTATCATTCACATGTATTAGAACACAACTCTATGAATTACACACCATCACAGTCTCTTTAACCATGCCTGCTAGGATTTTGGGAGTTGCTGTCCCAACATCTCTGGAAGGCGCCAGAGGGTTAAAGACTATGTTAGAAATTCCTAGTTCTTTGTCCTATAGTGCTCCCCTCCAAGACCTAGTTTGGAATATGTCCTGGGAAGTGTAGGTAATTGTTATGTGTCTCTTATCATTCTTACCTGAACACACAACCCCAGCATCTTCACTGTGTCGGCAGTTGTTGGTCCCCCAGGGACTGGTGTGGCAGTCTGCCAACTTTGACTCTTCTCCTTGGCACTGTACATCATCCAGCCAGATGACACTGCTCCCCTCACCAAAGAATGCACCACTTGGTGCTGCCAGAGCCTCCCCACAGTCCAGCTCTCGGCATATGACAGTAACATCCAGAAGGTCCCACATGTCATCACATACTGTCCCCCACTGCCCTTCATGAAATATCTCTAGCCGGCCAGAACACTGATTTCTGCCACCCACAAGTCTTAGGTTTTCTGGAGAGAAAAAGAAGGAATTTAAGGCAGATTTTGGAAGAGCCCAAAGTACATATGAAGATAAGTTTGCTATATATGGTATTCTAAAAGTAAAGATAACATCTCCCTTTCATTAAGCTTGAATTTTCCTTACTTTAAGCTTGAAGATTACACATCCATAAATTTAGAGCATTTTTTCCTTAAGGGAAAAATATTCCTCTAAATCATATCCAGATCTTGTTTTGTTTGTTTTCTAAATAAAATTCTTTTAAATCATGAGGTTTGGTACTGCCTCTCCTCCTTACTTGCTCCAAATATTAAATTTACAGATTATTTTTAAGGTAAATGACTCAGATCAAAATCAGTTATATCAAATGGAGACAGGGTTCTCTCATCTCCACAGTGACTTTTAATCCTATTCTGGAGATTGACAATTTCTGTTCAAACAATGGAAGTCTGAATTTTATAACTGAACTCACCCTCAGTAGGTGTAGATGATACAAATGGCCTTATGGTTGTTACTGCTTCCATTTTGCCCTTCTTGAAAGGTGTGTGGGCAGGAATGGCAGTGAAAAGAGGGATGCGTTGTTCTGTGTAAAGACAAGTGGGAAGAAATGTAGGTTTCATTGCTCCAGAAGGCACAGAAAGCGATCTGTATATATTGATTTATTTAAAACATTAGTACAGCTTCCCCATCTTAAAAACATCTTTTTTTTCTTCTCCTGTTCAATCATATCTGATTCTGGGAAACTACCTGCACAAATCCATGGAGTTTCTTTGGCAAAGTTTTCAGAAATGATTTGCCATTGCCTGGGACTGAGAAAAAAGTAATTGGCCCAAGGCCATCCTGGTAGTTCTTACCTAAGGTGGGGATAGAAATCATGGTTTCTAGCCTGATGCCTTAATCACTGTGTCAAATTGGCCAAGCTGGTTTATACCCAACAATAAAAGCTATATATACAACTAAAATGAAAACCATAATCCCATCAAGGAAAAACAATAATTGTCACTTTGATCTCTTCCCATTCCAGAACATGGGAGAAGAGCCAGGTCTTAAACTGAAAAGTAAAAGGGTCTCCAGGTGAAAGCATTCCATAGGGCAAGGGTTGCAATGGAAAGGCATGCTTTTGAGGACCCACAATGTGGATGTACTTAAGGGAAGGAACTTGGAGCATGTCTTGGAGCATTTGGTGAGATAGGTAGATACCTCAACAAGAAGCAGTCCTGCAGATTTTTTTCTTTTTTGACACTATGTTTGAGGGGCTAACCTTGCATTCAACTCATTATATCAGGTCACACTTAGTAATGTAAAAAGCTCAACTTTGGAAGAAGATTTGGTCAATTATTTATTAGTTAAGCTTCAAGGTGAGGACAGAGGAAAAGGCAAACTTCTCCATTAAATTAGATGCCAGGAATGTCCCTATATTAAAGCTAATAGTGAAAAGACTCCAATTGTCCCCAACAAGCTTTTGTTGTAACTTAAAACATTTGTCTTTGTTTCTCAAATATTGATGTGTACTTGAAACAGATTTGGTAGCTACAGTACCCCAAGTAAGACTGCATAGAGGGTTTTTCTGTGTGATAATCAATTCATCTGGTATAGCCAGCTGTGTGGAGAAGCAAACATTTGGACCTCTGTAAAAAAAAGTGTAAAAATATTTGTAGTGTCAAGAACTGACATGCAGTTGTTACTTAGTAGGATATAGAAATTGTTTCTTGTGTCTAAACGGTTGGATCTGGAACAAAAGTTGCTTTTAAAGAAATACGATGAAAGATCTTATTGCTTCAGGTACAGTTTCCTACTCTCAGTTTTTCAGGGTGGGATTTAGGTAATGGTGAGAATTGTGTTGAGTTATTGTTAGTTGGGCAATCTTCTACATCTAAAATACAAATAAATAAATGTGCTTTGTACTTGCTCCCTGTTTTATGGATAGGTTTCGATCATGACATTGATTTTCACATTTAATAATTAATACAATAAATCAAGCTGAAAACAATACCTAAATCAGGGAGCTACTAAAGAGAAAAGCACAATCCCACAAAAAATGGCATGGCAACTACTATATACAAGCAGAAAGTAAACCCCATACTTACTCACACTAATATTATCTAATTGGGTAATGAAACATCTGCCACTAAACAAGGAAGCTCAGAGAGCACCAAGAACTCCACAATAAATTACTTCTAATCGTCTTAAACAAGCATCTTGTGAAAACAGTTGATAGTAACAAGAGCCCTACCTGAGCAGATGGCACTGGCATCTTCCTCATGGGTACATATATGCTTGCGAAAGCCACGGTGATGGCAGGAAAGCAGGTGCCTCTCAGTACCTGCACAGTGTACTTCATTGAGCCAGATAGAACCAACTCCTTCACCAAACCAGGCTCCATGAGGTGCTGAAAGGGCTTCCCCACAGTTTAGTTCTCGGCACACAACAGCAACGTCACGCAGGTCCCAATCATCATCACACACGGTCCCCCATTCATCTTTGTGGAGAACTTCCACCCGTCCCACACAAAGGTTAGGACCTCCAGATAAACGTATCTGGAAAGCGCCTGGAGAAAGAGAGATCCACGGGGACATACAAAGCTTTCTCTCTTCACTTTAAACAAGATACCCTGAATATACTGAAATCTTTTCTCTTGAATTTATATAAATCAGTTTTTAATCATTCAGTTATTTGCTTTACATGATTTCAAAACCAGAATCAATAGATAAAAGCAATTATTTTTATAAAGAAACACACCATCTGCAAACTGGTATAAAAAAAATAAAAATGATAATTTGTGATGTTGCTATTCTTGAGCAACATCATGGAGAACAAAGTATAAAAAATGCAAATCATGCCCTATATTTCATTGCACAAGTCAATCCATCATTTGATTAGTTTATCTGGAAACATTCTGACAGAGTACAACAAACAGTGAACTAGTCCGGTCCACTCTAGTTTACATGTAAAATGCAAGACAAGGAAGTGCAACAAAAGAGGGTCTTGTTCCATCACCACAAACAAATTTGGTGCTTTAGTTGCCCATTTTTCTGGGGCTTTCCCAACTAATTGTCTGTATTACTGAAAAATCTGAGGTTCCCTTCAATTTGCTGATATTGCCCTCTTGTGGATGGCACAGGTATAATAGCGTAAACATCTATATTTGGAAAAAAAAGCTTGAATATAAATGTGGTGACTATAGATTATAAATCATCAATCTCAAATTGAGCAGGGCAAAGATCAAGGTAGTCAAGTTTTAATTTGATTTACCTGTGACATGAAGTTTCAAGAAGACCACTGCAAAAACAAAGCAAGACAGGAATGAAAGCCAGTACTCCTTACATTCTGGATTTTATTTAAATGAATCCAATATTTTCAAGCCTTAGACATGCGGAGGGGGGGGTCGGGGGGGAGAATTTATTTTAGAGATACAGAAGCAGTTGCAAATAACATCAGATGAAAATATTATTTCAAATCAAGTTCATGTAGTGACTTTATTGATACATTTATGCAATATTCTTGGCAAGAACATGGAAGTTGTACGCTACTGTTACTACACATTTTTTCAACGAGACCTTAGCTTACAGCTTTGGTATATAATAAATATTATATTAATAACTTTTGTAATTTCCAAGACAGTATCTTCTAAGGCAAGGCTTCTCTGGGACTGATTTAACTTGTGTATCTAAAGGCACAGCTTGCTTAACCATTGTTCATTGAATAAACAAACCATAGTGTCTGTCTGTAAGACAAAATGGCTGAGTTTACAACACTAAGCCATAATACTGAATTTGCTTGATCTTGTATCAAATATGAATTCAGACAATATTTCTTTTTTCTATCTTAGCTTGTTAATTTTTTTCCTTACAAATTCTATCATCATCAATATTTAAGTATTCGGCATTTTATACTAAACAAGTCTGATTTCCAGGAAACTATTCTGCATAAAAACATACAGTATACTGGGACATATTAGAAACTTCATGGCATTGTCTTCTGATAATTTCATCAGCTCATGAAATAACTAGGGCTCAGTCTACTATTATGCAGATAAGGAATCCAGCTTAGATAATGGTTGTTGACAGAGTGGTATATGCTAGGTATTAGAGCCGAGGTGGCACAGTGGTTAGAGTGCAGTACTGCAGCTACTTCAGCTGACTGGTAGTTCAGCAGATCAGTGGATCAAATCTCACCGGTTTAAGGTTGAGTCAGTCTTCCATCCTTCCGAGGTGGGTAAAATGAGGACCCAGATTGTTGGGGGCAATATGCTATTTAGTATACTGTCTTTGGTGTAAGCTGCCCAGAGTCCTCGGAGAGTGGGCGGCATAGAAATATGAATAATAAAAATAATAAATATAAAATAAATATTATGGTTAACATTGGATCAGGTCATTTGCTATTTTTCCATTCATTACATATATTGAGTTGCCAGTACTGAGGTTAAGATTTAACTACTCTATTAAGCTTCTGAAAATATGCCCCCTTTGCTTCAGAGAGCACTACCCTAGGGCAGTCCTGGATCTATTTTAGATCCCAGGGTTTATTTTCTTCCTGGGGCAGCTCAAAGTCTGGTTTAGAATAAATATATCAGTTGCAGAACACATCTTTCTCCTTCTGTCCTGGCCACTTTTTACAGAGGCACAATTGAGAATGTTTTAACAAACTGCATCACTGTTTGGTTGGTGACTGCAGTGCCTCAGATAGAAAGTCCATACAGAGAGTGGTAAGGACAGCCAAGAAGATTATAGGCTTACTCTCTGTTATGTAGGACACTGCTTATAAGAGCTATGCACTTAGAGCTCAAAGCATTGTTAGAGACCCCACACACCCCCTTCATGGTCTGCAGTATTTCTGTTGTTCCTCTCTGGGAGAAGGTTTTGAAGTATTTCTACAACTACCAGATTCTGGTAGTCGTAGCTTTGTTCCCTATGCCATCCATCTGGAAAACTCGCAAGATCCATTTCTCTTACCATATACTGCTGGTATATCACCGTATCACCGCTGCCCCCTGCTGCAGAGAGGCGGAACTGGTCAGGCGGTTCCACCCCAGGCGCCTGATGGATCTGGAGGGATTCCAGAGGGAGCTTGGGCCATTTCCTGAGGTTCTGGTTCATGACTCAACCAAAGACCTGGTGGCTGCCTGGGATAGGGCGGCCGCCGGAGCCTTGGATCGGGTCGTGCCTTTGCGGCCTCTGACCCAGTGCCGATCCCATGTGGATCCCTGGTTCTCTGAGGAGCTTAGGGAAATGAAGCACCGGAAAAGATGCCTAGAGAGCGGTTGGAGGGCCAGCCAATCCGAATCTGACCGAACACTGGTGAGGTCTTATATTAAGACCTACCTAGTGGCGATAAAAGCGGCAAAATCGGAGTATTTTTCCGCTCTTATCGCGTCATCAGATAATCACCCAGCCACCCTGTTTAGGGTGACCCGCTCCCTTCTCCATCAGGGAGCTAGGGAAGACCCCTTGCAGGGGAGAGCTGAGGACTTTGTTCAATATCTGTATGACAAAATTGCTCAGATTCCAGAAGGATTGGACTCTGACTGGGTAGTTTCAGACGGAGTGACAGAGGCAGGCCTTGAGAATGTCATTTGGGAGGAGTTTGACCCTGTGGCTCCTGAGGACATGGACAGGATTCTGGGTAGACTTAGCGCAGCCACGTTTACTGGATCCGTGTCCCTCCTGGTTGGTACTGGCCTCCCGGGAGATTACACGAGGCTGGCTCCAGGGGATTATCAATGCTTCTTTGAGCAAGGGTAACTTCCCCGCTGCCTTGAAGGAGGCAGTGGTAAGGCCCCTCCTTAAGAAGCCTTCCCTGGACCTGGCTGTATTAGCTAATTACCGTCCTGTCTCCAACCTTCACTTGTGGCGAAGGTTGTGGAGAGTGTGGTAGCGCGACAGTTTCCCAGGTACCTGGAGGAAACGGTTTATCTAGATCCATTCCAGTCGGGTTTCAAGCCTGGGCACAGCACAGAAATGGCATTGGTTGCATTGGTGGATGATCTCTGGAGGGCTTGGGACAGGGGTTTTTCCTCTGTCCTGGTCCTATTAGATCTCTCAACGGCTTTTGATACCATCGACCATGATACCATGGTATCATGCTGCGCCAATTGGAGGGGTTGGGGATAGAGGGCACTGTTTTATGGTGGTTCTCCTCCTTCCTTTCTGACCAGTCGCAGTTCATGTTGACAGGAGGACAGAGATCGACCTCGAGGTGCCTTGTGTGTGGGGTGCCACAAGGATCGGTTCTCTCGCCCCTCCTGTTCAACATTTATGTGAAGCCGCTGGGTGAGATCATCCATGGTTTCGGGGTGAAGTGTCATCTGTACGCTGATGATACTCAGCTGTAAATCTCCACCCCGGACCATCCCAACGATGCCCTTGATGTGATGTCCCAGTGCCTGGAAGCCGTACGGATCTGGATGGGGAGAAACAGGCTCAGGCTCAACCCATCCAAGACCGAGTGGCTGTGGCTTCCGGCATCCTGATATAGTCAGTTGGTACCAGCACTGACTTTTGGGGGCGAGTCGCTGGCCCCCACAGAGAGGGCTCACAACTTGGGCATCCTCCTGGATTCACGGCTGTCCTTAGAAGAACATATGATGGCTGTGGCCAGGGGGGCCTTCTATCAGGTTTGCCTGATTCACCAGTTGCAGCCCTTTCTGGATTGGGATGCCTTACGCACAGTCACTCATGCCCTCGTCACGTCCCGCCTGGACTACTGTAATGCTCTCTACATGGGGCTCCCCTTGAGGAGCACCCGGAGGCTCCAACTGGTCCAGAATGCGGCCGCATGGGTGGTTATGGGGCGACTCAGCGCTCCTGTGTAACACCTCTCCTGCGCGAGCTGTACTGGCTCCCGGTGGTCTTCTGGGTGTGCTTCAAGGTATTGGTTACCACCTTTAGAGCGCTCCATGGCTTAGGACCCGGGTACTTACAAGACCGTCTTCTGCCACCGGTAGCTTCCCACCAACCAGTACGTTCCCACAGAGAGGGCCTCCTCAGGGTGCCATCGGCCAGACAATGCCAGCTGGCGGCCCCCAGGGGAAGAGCATTCTTTGTGGGGGCACCTACCCTCTGGAACGAGTTGCGCCCAGAGATACGGTGGATCCCTGACCTTCGTGCTTTCCGAACTGCCCTAAAGATGTTTTTGTTTCATCAAGCCGGGCTGGCCTGACCTACTCTTTTTAAAAAGGATTGTTTTAAAAAATTAGGGGTTTTAATATAGGGTTTTTAACTATGGGCCAAATTGATTTAATTGGATTTTAATATTGTTTTAAATTTTGTATCTGTGTATTTTATGTGCTGGCTGTTCACCGTCCCGAGTCCCTCGGGAGAGGGGGCGGTATATAAATATAATAAATAAATAAATATACATGTATATATCTGAACTAGACTGTGTTGTTTCTCCATGTCATATAATATATGTGGATATATGCATAATTTTGTATTTATTTGTTTTGTCATGTTTATGTAATGTATACTGGAGGTGGTGACCCTTTGAGAACTGTATGCAACAAAATTTCATTTTAATGAATGCCGATTACTGTACATTCAGTGACAATAAAGTTATTCTAAGTCTTTCATTCAATGGCTGACAACTACATAGTCCAATTCAACAAATTCTTCATATTCTCTTCCTCACCATTCCAAATGTAAGCTCACAATACAATGGTTTTCTTTTTTATGTCTCTGTAGACCTGGTACCCTTAGTTCAGGCCCGCGGAATGTTTAGAATTGGCCTGGGGGGGCCGCCCTGGAAATAGCAAAGGACCGGCCTGCAGTGCCTCTGCTAGCAAAAACAGAGTTTAGGAAGTGGCCCTCCCAGGCTCCGTTTTTGCTGGCAGCAGGCTGCAGGAGGCCATCACAGCCAAAAACAGAGCTGGAAGGGCTGCATGAGAGCTGCAGGACATCAAGCTGGCCATGCCCACCCTGACCATGCCCACTCACCCACCCCCACAAGGTCAAACACAACCCTGATGTCACCCTAAATGAAATCGAGTTTGAATTAAACCAATTTCAATTCTAGCCACTATCAATCAGAGTTCTATCACATCAATCCTGCAAAATAAGATGATTCAGAACCTGAACCAATGAGCTTTAAGTATCCAGCCATGATAATGAAGAACACTTGCTGAAGTATCAGCACAAAATGGAACCAGAAAAAAATATATAGGTGGCCCTTGACTTACAACTGATTGTTTATCTACTATTTGATGTTACAGTGGAGTCCCCAAAAGTACTTACAAACCAGTTCTGAAATTCTGATGGCTGTTCCCCCAAGAATACATGATCACATTTGGTGTGCTCAGTCATAGGCCTACATTTACAGTCATTTGCAGTGTCCCATGGTCATAATTTACAATTTTCCAAAAGTCAAGGTTTACTTCCAGTTTTGGTGAAAACACCCAGTAGGAAAAAATGGGTTCACTTAGCAACCACATTTAATTATCAAGATGATTCACTTAACTGCTGCAAAAAAGGTAGTAAAATGAGATGGACCTGTAAGAACCCACTTTATGACCACCATGACTTATGACCATAATGGGCAGGCTCCATTATGGCTGTAAATTGACAACTACCTGTAAAACTTTATTGTCTGAATAGATGAGACAAATCTGCAAAAGCTGAGTGTTATCTTTTCTCAAATAGAAGATTTAAGATGCTTGGATATTTTAAAAAGAAAATGTAGCACAACTATCTACGTGTGTATGTTCTCCTGTACAGGTAGTCCTCTACTTACAACCATTCATTTAGTGACCATTTAAAGTTACAATGGCAATGAAAAAAGTGATTTATGACTGTTTTCACACATACAACCATGTGATCACCTGATCAAAATTCAGATGTTTGGCAACTGGCATGTATTTATGATAGTTAAAGTATCCTAGAGTCACATGATCACCTTTTGCGAACTTCTGACATGCAAAGTCAATGGGGAAGCCAGATTCACTTAACAGACATGTTACTAACTTAACAACTGAAGTCATTCACAACAGCTGTGGCAAGAAAAATTGTAAAATAGGACAAAATTCACTTGACTTTTGTGTTTATCAATACAAATTTTGAACTCAATTGGGATTATAAATCAAAGAACAAGTACATAATGGATTTCCGTCCATCTTTTGCTATCTGAGGAGATGGCAGAAATGTTTTTTATTAAAATTTACTTAGGTGCCAGTATGCTCTTAACATTTTAATCCTTTTCTGTGGATTTCTAGAATCAAAATTGCAGGGAGGGAGGATATTCTTATGCATAAATAACTAAACGGACCAAAAATGTTATTTTTCTTCCATCCTCTCATGTAATCTGCTTTCTAAATTGTTGCAAAACAGCCTTAAAATACATTAAGTACAGCCAAGTCTATTAAGTGATCTGTGTTTAAAATAAACCAGAATCAATTTATTATCTCGTTAACTTCACAACCTCCACAAGCTAGTGTAGAATAAATGAATGCAAAATGTAGCAGCAGAAGTCTTCAGCAATATTCACTTGAGGCTAGAATATAGATGAAAGTACTGTGATCTATTATAAAAATATTATATGTATTTCCTGACTGAAATCTTGACGACACTTTTGCATTGATCCATGAGGTTTCATCTGTTACTGCCACAGAATGTCATTTCCTCCTACAGCAGTGGATCAAACCCATGAAACCACATCTCCATTAGTGCATTCTTTCTCATAACTCTGATGGGAATCACAGGCTTGTTGGTAGAAATATTAAGCCACTCTCAGAGGGCCAGTTTGGTCGCCCAAGGAAAATAAGGTTAGCAGTAATAAAGGAGACACTACTCACCCAGAAAGGACAAGGAGGTCTGCATGGTGTGAATGGCAGGATCGGTGAGTTGCCTGATTGCAAAGGCAATCAGAAGCAGTTAAAACAGAAGACCCAGGCTGTGAGTCAGCCAGGCAAAAAGGAAAGTAGGAAACACCCCTGCTTTGCCCTGGGTCATGTAACTTCCAATCTGTAGCCTGGGAAGAAGAGAACCAGACCAAGGAGGAGAAATTCCCACAAGACTAAGCCTGGTGTGAGAGCCACATTTGAGACATTTCTCTTTCAAGAGAGCCACTTAACAGAGACCTAAACTGGGTTGCTGTCTCTGTCAATAGAAAACTTTAAAACTCATGTTGATTATGTAGCAATTATACTAATGTGCATAGTTTGCTCCTTTCAAACATTTTTTAGAACCATCATTTGTCCTGAAACACAGCTTCCAATTCACTTATATATGTGAATCCTGGCCAGAAATAGACACAATTTTTCCAAGATGTCCACTCATCATTTCTCATAGCCTTGCGTTTTTAACAGTGGGATATAATGCTTTTTCCATGCAGTGTTCCAGAGTCATGTAATTGTCATTTGCACCCTTTCCAGCCAGCTTCTAACAAGTAAAGTCAATGGGAAAGTCAGCCGGGAAAGTTATAAACTGCAGTTATGTGATGTCTCATTTATTTACATTAATTAACGATGAGTTTATAAAGTTGTACTTCTTTTTAACTGATACATAGTATTAATCTAATACATAGATCAAGATCATAAGGTAGTGCACCAAGATCAAACTGTATATGACACAAACAACCTATAAGTACCTAATAATTAATAATAAAATATTTTTGTCCCCATAAGATAATAAGTACAGATTGAGTTCAATTAAGAATTAAAATTAACTTCCCCCTTTCTTTTTTGCTACAAATTGGTGGGAAAGGAGGCTCGACAGTTATACAATCTGCTCTGTCCATATAAGCTGGCTTTCATTATTTAATTTTATGCCTATTACCATTGAGCATCTAGGAATTTCCTTAGCTTGCCATCTTTAAAATAAGTACACATTAGATAATGGAAATTAAATGATCTCTTTGCACCAAGGGTGGGTTCTACTTACCTTTACTACCGGTTCGCAGCAGGGCCGTACGCTCTTCTGTGCAAGCACAGAAGTGTTTTGATGACATCGGGGTCAGTGGGCGGAGCCTCCCACCGGTTTTACTACCTGTTCTATAGAATTGGTGTGAACCGGGGGGGGGGGGGTAACCCACCACTGCTTTGCACCCCTTTTCACCTCTACGGCAAATGGGAAGGTTCTTCAAACAATTCTTATCTCTATCCATCACCTGGCTTATTATTATTGAAATGAGTGTTGATATCTAAGAGACAAAGTAACTCTCAGTCTCAACACATAATTTAAAAGTAAGGTCTATATATTTCTTAGTAAATCAACATTTTACTTCAAACACAATGAATGCCTGTTAATAATGTTTTGGGTCCTCTCTAAAATCCACATTGTCTCCAATTTGTACCATACTGATAATTGAAATGTCCAGCAATTGGAATAATTCCAGAATTCTGGCCCAATAGCTGGTAGTCATGGTAATACAGCATTATATAGTTCAACATTCCAGACTAATTTAGAACAGTGGCTGGTGACTAAAAGAGGAGATGGTTAAAGAAAAATGAGACCAGTAAAATTCAGACAACAGTACTGTTGCTAGGTTCTTTCAGCATTTTATTGGTGAACACAAACATGGATTCTCAACACAAGTATTAACTTAAGCTTGTTCCTTTGAATCTTGTTTTTAAAAGTCAAGTTTCAGCTGCAGGACATATGAGGTAAGTGTTGCTGGATAAAATGGAAAGCTTTTATGCGGTACTAGGCAATCAGAGCCAAAATTGTACATCATTCACCGTTAGGAATACAGTAGCTGCCAAGCCAGAGAAAAGTTCTTCTAAATAAACAAAACTGCCTTGGCTTAATCTTTTCAAATCTAAGAGAATGTCCTTGATGATTTTTCAGAATGCATTGCTGATAACCATGAAATGGATTGTCTCTCAATGAAATTATTATAACTTATTATATATGAAGTTATAATTATTTTTGAAATCTAGTTTCTACTCTAATGTCAACCTACACGGATCTAAAAAGAAGTTAGCAGAATTGGAACAATCATTACCATTATTATCAGGATTTCTCCCTCTAGTTGATCATGACATAAAGATGCAGAACCTATCTTCTTCAAATGTTGTTGGCCTAAGACTTTCAGATGTGAAATAGTCATGGCTAATGGAAATTCATACTTTCTTCCATTCCCCATTCTTCCATTAGGAGAATTTTGTTTCTTATATACCTAAATTAGGATCTTGCCCCTAAGTTCCTATCACTTTAACACAGAGTCCATGTCTTGTGCAGTAGCAATACTCACATTAAATAGCTTTGCTTGTATACAATTTTATTTGGACAATCATGTTACCTCTTTTCAGCCCACTTTTCTTGCTTTGGGGAGGAAAAAGATTCTTTCTCACAATCATACCTAGGATGGGCATGTTCATTTCTGTTCTGTCAAATAGTGAACCATCCTTTACAGCCAGAAGCCTTATTCGCTACTGGTAGTTCTCAACTTATAGCAACAATGGGAACTGTAAACTAATTGTTAAATGATGCAATTATTAAGCAAAGCATCATGTGACCAAACCCTTTTTTTTTTTTTTTTTTGCTGCATTCATTAAGAAATTATGTAACTGTGATTTGTTAGCTTTCTTGCTGGCTTCTCCATGGATTGTTTTGAAAGTCGGCTGGGAAGGTCACCAACAGTGATCGTGTGAGCATGGAATGGATAACCATCATAAATGGTGTGATGATTGCCAAGTGCCCAAATCATGATCCCATGAACTCAGGGATGCTGCAGTGGTTATAAGTGCAAGGTCTGGTTGTCAGTTTTTTTTCTGTATTGACATAAACTTGAATGGTCACTAAATGAATAGTCATAAATCAAGGATTGCCTCGTACTAGAAAACAGCAAAACACTGGGGGGTTTTCCCATGACAATTTCAGAATGCTTGATGACTCTATACAGTGTGTAAAGGCAAAATTTGGCATAGTATATTCACAAACTATGTTACTACTAAGGCTTAAAGAGAAAGATGTTAAATTTTTGGACTCTCATATCTTAATCAGCTTTGCCTCTGAACCCAACTTCTATTTATCCTTTAAGATTTTTGTTTGTGCTTGATCCTGAATCAGCATGTAAGCAAGTAATGTGTTGCAATTTGTAAGCAAGTAACCTTCAGTAATTCATAAATCACAGTTCTGCAACATTAAACCTGACTTTTATTCACATCTATCAAAAATACAGACAAGCCTTTTCAAAAATATAGTGAAGGCCAGCATTGTGCACCAGATTAAAGCAAACTAGATAGAATGAGAAATAATGAAAATAGAAGATTCCATAATTGTTGCTAACTACCATATGGATTTATGGGGTGAGAGTTGGGGACTAGTGAGAGTTCAGAGTTTATCAATATTTTTAAATATTGGCAAAATTTCCATCTGCACAAAGTAGATTCCAGTAAGAACAGAGCATCTGGTCAGAGCATAAAGGGAAAACCATAGAGCTACATATATAGAAATATTGAGTCAAAGGACCCATGTCTAGTATTCTTATTCCTGATCTTTTCTCTTGGTCTCTGCAGTGTTTCCTAACACAATGAATAGGTTTGGTGTTTTTCTTCTATTACAAAAAGTAAATTGCTACCCCTGAATCACTACTGCAATAAAGGCAAAACATGTTGGTCCCAACAACTATAACTCAGCTTCCAGTAACCTGGCCGTCACACAGATGTAACATATCTCTGTACACTGTGTTCCTAATGACTGGGTATTTAAAATTGAAAGACATCATCTTCACTCCAAGTCATAATATTTCACTGAGTGTATATGAACACACACACACACACACACACAAATCAGGGAATCAATTTGAGCTGATAGTTAAAGCTCCAGATTAGGAACCAGGAGACTATGAATTCTAGTTCTGCTTTAGGCATGAAAGCTGGTTTAGTGACTTTGAACCAGTCAGTTTCCCTTAGCTCATGATGTCAGGCTCAGGTGGCAAACCAATTGATCAATTCTTGTTGAAACCAACAGATCAATATTGATCAGAAAAATGCCGACTCTGCATTGGCAGGAAAAAATCTAGCAAGAAAAAAGAAAAGAAAATGTATATACAAAACATTTTTGTTGATCATACAAAATTTCCATTCCACTGAATTCTTTTGCAATGTACATCTCATGAGTTTGGAAATCTAGTTCGGCATTATAGAAGTTGGGTACAGACCATGATTCATTTAATTTTTTGAATTCTTTTGGCAAAAACATCTGGAGGAAGATACATTTGTGAACCAGAATATAGCCAAGAATTTATAAAATCAACTTCCTGTCTGGGCTAATAAGAGCCCTAAATAGTTTGCTAGTCAACCCAGCTTGGTTGTTAGAAAAATAACACCGTAGAACCAAGCTGAGTCTGGATTGTTTGCTAATTTGGATACTGAACTATGTTACATGCACATGAATGCCAGAACATTTATTAGCTTATTCTAAGAAAAAATAAGCTTTTAAAGACTATTCAAATGTGTGCTCTCTTAATCCTTTTTGTGTCTGATACTATGTTCCTTGTCCAGTTACATTTCTACCCATAAAATTCCATTCATCAGTTTATCTTCAAAAGACACTATATGATGTAGGGATATGCCACATGAATTAAATACATATATTTAACATGTATCATTTTAAAAAATGACCTCAAGCCAGTTTTTATTATCTTCAAACTCTGTGAAAATTCAATTATATGAATATATACGATTTAAACTAGTTTCCATGACAAGAGCATACCTCTATGCTCTTGGATTTATGATTTCCAAAGATGCTATGCACATTCTCATCCTATAGTAGTTCAACTGTTTTAATGAGCACAATTTAAACTAATCTGAACTACAGGGATCATGTTCAATTTCCCCAATAAAGCTGAAATATATTTTATCAGAATGTATAAAAACTTCTGAAATCTCATCTTAAAAAGGTATTTTCTCCTTTCTTAAATCAATTTTACTGAATTTATAAAAGTGAAACTTTAATTGTCTAGAGAATGCACAACTAAATTTCTCTAACCCTAAGAACTAGGATCAGAGAATATACTCCAACCCAGGCATGCAAATACAGATTTAGAAAACTTGTCCATAAATTCACTACCAGCTGACATAAGTGAGGGAATGAATGTAAAATACATTAAGTAATGAATGCAAATGACTAGATCTGTCCAGTCTGTATGACATCAAGGTACAACAAAATGCTTAAAATATTTCTTTAACTTATTTAAGAAACTGGTCAGCTGCTGGGAATTCACTATCCTGATCATTAATTTGCAAAGAAAATACACAGTAATCTGATAAAAGCTAGACATGCCCTATGCATTCAGGCTGGTTTGCAGGTGAAATATGAATCTGGCATGTAAATTCCTCATCTGTGCATTCTGAAAGACTATTTGAACAATAATAATTTTCAGATGGCCTTCTGTTATGTAAGTGCATTCATAGAGAAATACATATATACAAAGGGTGTTGCAAACATCAGGCCCTATAAGCCAATCTCTATGTATATTTCAGTTTTTTTCCCCTCCAGGGAAAATGTTACTATATTTAGGAGTGTTCAAAAGTCATGCATAAAACAAGTAAGAAAGGATTTAGAAAAAAGGCAATCAAGTTGAACAATTGATGTAATTTATGTAATAAATTGTCTATAGGGCCTGACTTTTGGTATATTCTCTGGGTTGGTTTGTATGTGTGTTTATTATATACATATTGAGAAAATTTGTGCACATGTGTGTATATATACACACACAATCCTCTGGTTGTATGTATGTATGTATGTATGTACATATATACACGAGCACACGTGCACAAATTTTCTCAACTGTTACAATTTGCTGTTCCCTTTGTATAAAATGTGAAGTTATTCTGACCCCAAAAGAGGATACAGGAAATGAGCCTCAGTTCCTGTTTCCAACATCAATGAATAATGTGGAACAGAAATCCCAAATGAGAGTTTGATTGCTATGCCAGACTGGGAAGAAGGCACAAACTATCCTGATCTGCTTTGCAGCCACACTTTCTTTTCTAAGCAGAAACCATGTTAATAATAACTACTGCTTAGGACCTGGAATGCCTCGTTTTAACTGCAGACTGTTTCTGAAACTCTGTGTTTTCTTTGTTCAAGAACAACAACATTCAAAAACATGCTATCTTGACTGGTACCAAAGTAATAGATACAGTTCTAAAGTTCTTTGATGAACTCTTGTTGAACAGTGTAACCCAACCATGGGTGCCCACCACTCACACTATAGCCAGTGTTCTCAAAGAGACCAATAGCAGCCTTAGCCACCACGGAGACCTGGGCCACCAGGAATTTGAAGCCCTGTGCACGAGCCTGTGCCTCTAGAAAATGAAGGAGGCACTGACCCACACCAGAGCGCCTGTACCATCGGCTGACAGCCAAGCGCTTGAGCTCAGCAGTGTGAGGCTCTCTATCAAGAGGCTCCAAAGCCACACAGCCACACACATCATCATCATCATAAACAGCCACCCACAGCCCACGATGGCTTGCACTGTAATAAGCATGCAAGTGTTTAAGGTCTGGTGAGCGCCATAGTAGAAGTTTCAGAGCCACTACAGTGAGGAGTACTGGCAGCACAAGGGCCACCACAAAGGAGTTCAGGAAGAAGCGCAGTCCACTGCTCACAACTGCCATCAGTAATAAGGCTAGTGGCCGTGTCAGCACATAAAGTATCAAGCGGTTTTCTGTATCTTTGAATCCATCCTGATGGGAGAGAAATAGAAGAACATAAAAAGTCCTCAGTTTAGATGAACCCAAATGCCAGCGAAGTTATCAGGCATACATAATTGTCTCTAACTTTGTCTCACATAGCCATCGTACTCTTACCTGGTCCTGTTCAAAATCAGTCAGTGAGCTTTACGATACAATGATATGAACTCAGATATTCTTGGTTCTATCCTAGCATTCAAAACCACATGATCATATTGTCACAAATCATTTCCAACTAATTAAAATCCCACCTATTACTTTCACGTTACAAGAAAAAGTCAAAAGCAACAGGCATGATGTCTTTTAGGAAAACTTTTATGCTGTTAAACTTTGTAACTGAAAAATTCCAGAAAATATTCTGGACCCAAAAATACAATTGGACATCTCCTATGTCTTGTATAACAGCTGAATCCATGAAACTTTCAGAGCACAAATACAAGTATTATCAACCTGTTGAAGATACCTTCTGAAAAAATGTTTAACATGGATCAACACAGAGAAAATTCTCAAAAAAAAAAAAAAAAAGGAGTAGTACTGATGTAGCTAGATCCACGTTTTTCCTCCATCTCACCTTCAGAAGTTCCAAAACAATGGGGGCTTCATCCTCTCTCATTTCCCTGATTAACAGTTGTTCCGGGTCCAAGGTAGGCATATTGTTAGCAACTGATACCTAAAAGGAAAAAAAGTTCAAATATTGACTGAAAAATAATTTCAGAGTACAGTGTGAGAGAACCTTTTGCTTAAATGGGGAAATAAATGCTTCTCAATACTCCAAGAGAAATCGAACTCCAACTACTCCATATAAGGGTGCTCAACCACCTCCACCATATAAAATAAATATAATTTGGTAAATATATATAAATAGTTAGGGAACATCTTTTCACATCTTAGTAATTATTCCTACTTTCAATTCCCCTCCCCATATTCTCCACATATGTTTAAACTACAGTACAGAGCCTTCTTTAAATTTATGAGCAAAATTGTGATAGGTATCACTCTGAAACAGGGTGATGTCTAACAGGAAAAAAGAACAAGTATTACAAATGGTTTTATTATAAAATCACAGACTGACAGTACAACAGGGCTAAAACCACAGATTGTTGATTACAACACAACAGATGAATGCCCAACTGCACTTTAAGCTAAAACACATCGTGGTTTAGTATGATGCACAAGTCCCTAAAGAATCACTGGTTACCTCTGGGCCACCTGCTCTTCTCTGGCTTCCGTTTTCTCTTTTGTTATACAGAGTCTCTTACTTCAAAAGATTATTCTGAAAGGGATTATTGAGAAAACGATGGGTTTTAGTGCTTTATATCTACTGCAAGTATCATTTTTCCTTACAATAAATTCACAAGTAGATTATCAAATGCAAACGAGCAATAAAGTTTTCCTCGTAAATTTTACAACAGGAAAACTGCAACACCTGTATTTTGCCTAACCCCTCCCTTTCATAAGAGGGCCACCGCAGCCACGCCTCCCCCGCCCGTGCAAAAAATAGAAGCACCTTATTTAGCATACTCACTACAGTTAAACCTTTCATGGTCTCCCCCTCTGTTCCCAATGGACTCACCCAGTTTGCAGGCTACCGCTGACTTCTCCCCTGCAGAGAGGCTCATGGGATATTCCAATAACTGTTACATTCTCCACTCCTCCTTCCAGAAAAACGGGAGGGGTGGATAGGAATGAGTCCTGACCCAAAGGCCCGATAATTCAATCTCTTTCCAGACTCAAGACTTCACTGAATATGCGCATGCGCTACATTCGTTCTTCTTCGACCCCTATCCCTTCCTACGCAGCCCTTAGTTACTGTTGCTAAGCGGGACCAATGTGGCTTCTCGGGTATGCCAAGACCGTCGAGTTGTAGAGATGTCCGAGGAAACGGGGAGGGGGATGACTGACCCCCCCTTCTTTTTCTGTATTGTATAACAAAAAAAACTATCGGATGCATAAATCCTGGCAGACAGGAATTCAACAGATAAACCTATGCACAAATCATGGCAGACAAATTCAACAGGTAAATCTATACATAGAAAAGGATACATTAACCTTTTGCCTATCTGGATGTTATGGCAGTATTAAAAACACTATTAACCCTGAGGAGCCTATGTTGTTCACACATGGTGGGAAGAAAGGCTTTGGGATTGACATGATATATTTTCTTTTTGCCTAAACCTTTAAATTACATTCATAAGCTAGCAATGTAGAAAGCAGAATTTTTACTGTCTATAGGGGAGACTACCCAGTGGTGGGATTCAATTTTTTTAACAACCGGTTCTGTGGGCGTGGCTTAGTTGGGGAGTGTGGCTTGGTGGGTGTGGCTAGCTGGTCATGTGATTGGGTGGGTGTGGCTATGTGCATAGGGACTATTCAGAGGGTTGAAAAAAGTCATTTCTGACTGGTCCTCGCACTTTTGACTGGTCCTTGCACTTATGACCATCCTCACATTTATGCCCGTTGCGGCATTCTTAACAACTATGTCAGTCATTTCACCACTACTTCTCTTCACCACGGTGACAAGATAGGGCGCAAAACGTAAAATGTGAGGACAGTCGTAAATTCAAGGACTGGTCAAAAGTGTGAGGACCGGTCAAAAATAACTTTTTCAGTCCTCTGAGTAGTCCATATGCACATAGGGACTACCCAGAGGGCTGAAAAAGTGATTTCTGACAGGTCCTTGCACTTTTGATCGTCATCATTTATGCCATCATTTATCTTCTAGTCCAGAGATGTCCAACCTTGGCAACTTTAAGGCTGGCAGACTTCAACTCCCAGAATTCCTCAGCCAGCTATGCTGGCTAGATAATTCTGGGAGTTGAAGTCCACAAGTCTTAAAGCTGCCAAGTTTGAAGACTTCTGAGCTAGGGCTTGGGGTCACCCTTTTGGGGAGGGAGAGGGGTCTCATTTGGAGAGACCCCCTGCCTCTCAGGAAGCATCAGGCCCAGGGAGAGAAAGTTGCCAAGGTTGGACATCTCTGGACTAGAAGACCTCCAAAGGTCCCTTCCAATTCTGTAATTCTGGTATTGGCAAGCAAGCACAGTTAAGCTACTTAAATCCTCCAGAGCAGGGGTCCTCAACCTTTTGGACCTCAGGGACCATCAACTTCATAATTTTAAATTTCGCGGACCACTAATACGAATCCAGTGTGCCACTTGTTGAAGCACCTGGACTCCAGTGATGGGATAGGGTCCTTCAGACACTCCCCCCTCTTTCTCTCCCCCCTTTCTCTCTCCCCCACTCTTTCTCTCTCTCTCTACCCCCTTTCTCACTCCCTCTTTCTCATTCTCTTTCTCTCTCCCCCCTCTTATTCTTTCTCTCTCCTCCTTTCTCTCCCCTCTCTCCCACTCTTTCCCTCTCATTCTTTCTCTCTCCCTCTTTCTCTCTCCCCCTTTCTCTCTCCGCCATTTTTCTTTCTGTCCCTTTCTCTCCTTCCCACTCTTTCTCATTCTTTCTCTCTCCCCGATTCTTTCTCTCTCCCCCTTTCTCTCTGTCCCTCACTTTCTCTCCCCCCTCTCTCATTCTTTCTCTCCCTTCTCTCTCTCCTCCACTCTTTCTCTCTCCCCCCTCTTTCTTTCTCTCTCTCTCTCCCCCACTCTCTCTCTCTCTCATTCTCTTGCAGGGGGCCGATATGGTGACTGCAATGGAGAGCAAAATCTGGCTTCTTCTCTCTGCTGTAAGTGCAGCATCAGGATTCCACCTTGGTATATTTGCAGTGCAAGACAGCCCTTGTTTCCTGCCAACTCGGAGCGGTAAACAGCGTCTGGTTCGGGGAGCAGCCGGATTTTGCTCTCCATTGCTCTCTCGGCCCCCTGCAAGCTCTCATCTCTTGAGAAGCCCAACCAAAGTTTCCCGCACCACTTCAGGGAACGCTCCTCGAGAGACGAGAGCTTGCAGGGGGCCAAGAGAGCAATGGAGAGCAAAATCCGGCTGCTCCCCGAACCAGACGCTGTTTACCGCTCCGAGCCCCAAGCGGCAGGAGAGGAGGGCTGCATTGTGCCGCAAATATACCAAGGTGGAATCCTGATGCCGCACTTACCTGCAAAAATTTTCAAATGTAGCCCTGCCCTCTAACAGCCCTCCTGATGTTCAACTGTTGTGTCTCAAGGAGGATACTTGGCCATCTTCATGCTTGAAAGGATTCTACAGTGTAACAGCAGATGTCTCCCACCTTGGCAGTTTAAGACTTGTGGACTTCAACTTCCAGAATTCTCCACAATTCCCCAGAATGGGCTAGGTGGGTTGAAGTCCACAGGTTGTAAAAGAGCCACAGTTGCCCAGCCCTGGGCTAGGGTAGGCTGACGCCACGCAGGTGGGAGGCAGGGCAGAGCGAGGGGCGGGCGAGCCAGCAATTTAACAAACGGTTCGGTGTGCTGCGAGGCCAATAAATTGCAAAAAAACACTGAGCCATTTGTTAAATTACTGACTCGCCCCCCGCCCCCCCACTATTTATTGGCAAGGGGCGGGGCGAGCCAGCAATTTAACAAACGGTTCGGCCGAACCGCCTAGAACCAGCAGAATCCCACCACTGAGACTACCATACCAAGAAATCCTTGAACTGCAGATTAGAACAGGGAGGATTTTTTAAAAAGCAGAAGAACAAAAGCATCCTGGGGAATGGTGGTAGCCATATCATGGCCAGCAAAGTGCTTAGATTCAGTCATGCATGTTGCCAATAGTTTTAGCTTGACTTAAAAATGGATTGTATACGTATTTAAATGTTACCTTCCCCCTGTCTTGGAATATAGCTGGCTGCACATTTAAATAGTGACCAATAATACAATAGGTTTATAGAGCCCCAGTTTCGTAAGCTACCGAAGCCACAGAAATTCACTATGCTGTGCCAATAATTTTGAATTCAACCAACTTCATAGGATTCAGCTGTGGGACAAAATGAAAGGCTTACCCATCTAAGCCATTTTAAGTTCTTGGAAGATAGGATAAATAAATACAAACAAAATATATACTAATTCGAAGTACTGATGGAGGGAGTATTTGATCTGTAAGCTTCTTTGCATCCAGCTTGCTAATGTTAATATTAAATGAGATCCTGAAAACAAAATCAGAGCTGTTCTGAAAATATTGTGTGGTTTAAAAGCTGTTGCTGAAAATAAAAGGCAGTTCCCAATACCAAACGTGTATAGTAAATTAGTTTGCACTTCATTATACAATATGCAAATTACTTGTTGAAATTGTTACAGTAATTTATTTTTAGTATTATTATATATAGTACATAGGTGGTCTGAATGCACCCTCCTGTGGTGAGAGGAAATATTGAATACATGAAGGCAAATCATAGGTTTGATGTGTTACATTTATGTGCAGCTTTTTACTGGTCCAAAATGATAACATGAGTAGCAACTATGACAGCAAAGCTGTGATAAAGAAATCCTCTAGTTAGTAAGCCTAACTTAGTAACTAACTTATTAATGTGGTGGCTCAGTGGCTAAGACCCTGAGCTTGTCGATTGAAAGATTGGCAGTTCAGGGGTTCAAATCCCTAGTGCCGCATAACAAGGTGAGCTCCTGTTACTTGTCCCAGCTTCTGCCAACCTAGCAGTTCGAAAGCACGTAAAAAATGCAAGTAGAAAAATAGGGACCAACTTTGGTGGGAAGGTAACAGCATTCCATGCGCCTTTGGCGTTTAGTCATGCTGGCCACATGACCACAGAGACATCTTCAGACAGCGCTGGCTCTTCGGCTTTGAAACAGAGATGAGCACTGCCCCTAGAGTCGGGAACAACTAGCACATATGTGCGAGGGGAACCTTTACCTTTACCTTTAAGCCTTATGTATATCTATGAAACCCTTGTGCAGTGGTGGGTTGCCCCCAGTTCAGACCAATTCACAAGAACTGGTAGTAAAACCAGCGGGAGGCTCCACCCACTGACCCAGACGTCATCATAAATGATCTGCGTATGTGCAGAAGAGCGTGCGCGGCCACGATGCGAACCTGTAGTAAAGGTAAGTAGAACCCATCTTGTGTAACATTAATCTATATTACAGGTACATTTAAATACATGCTTAATGCCCCAAACCTCATGAGGCAGAAATTTTGTCTTACACTGATTTTGAGATTAAGTACAGGGGGACAGAGGGCTGGTTCTATAATCATCAAAGCTCTGGGCTTTTGTTCTTAGAACAGTACATTTTCTAGTTGTCTTCTGTTCAATATCTACACTAGATACCTTCATAAATCTAACAGGAATGCAGCTTGTAAACCCTTGACTGAAGATCTGCACTATCTGGGATAGTCCTCTCTCATCAAGCATGCAACTTAGAGAGATACACACAAAGCGGTGAAAGAAGAGTACAGCTATATAACCAGCCAGATCAACAAAATTAACCTTGATGATCAATGGGGTACACTGATTGATGCAGCAAGATCACCCTCATATCCCCTTCATAAATATTGACCCTTGGCCAGTTGAGTCACATGTCCAAAGTCCTACTGAGTGCCTGAGGCAGAGGAACAGTTTCAGTCCTGACAAAATCAAGTGGCTGTGCTTATTTGAGTCCGCTGGTCCTGGAGATGTTCCATCAACTTTCAGTGGGTTTGCACTCCCTATTTGAGTTTGTTGTGCAATCTGCAGCACCTCTCAGACTCAAAGAGCAGGTGATAGCTGTGGTCAAGAGGGACTTTTGCAGAGATTTGGTTAGTATGCCGGTTGTGACCTTTTCTGGACTGGGACATCTTTCATGTCCTTTTCAATCCCCATTAGAGTTTACTGTCATGGACTCTACATAAGCTTGCTGTTGAAGACCATTTTGGAGCTATAGCTGGTATAGAATCTGGCAGCACAGGTAGTGTTGGTAATGTTGCATTACACTCATGTGACCTCAGTGCTTTAGAAGCTGCAACAATTACCAGTCAGCTTGCAGGAGCAATTCAAAGTGCTAGTGATCAGCTTTAAAGTTAGCCTGGTATAATCAGACAGAGAGGATGTGCTTTGAGCCCTGT